ATGGTATGCATTTACAAAAAATTGACATTTCGTATTGGCGTTGCGATAAATTAGTGCTAGTTAAGGGCATCTTTTCAAGTCAATCTCGTCAGCAAGCTTTGCTTTAAAAAGCTTTGACACACAGTCTAGAAAGCCTGATCTGAGGAATTGCTAAAATATGGACGTAAATGTGACAGTCGATTGTTTGTGGAGCACATGGGACCTTTACTTCGGATAGAGCATTTTTATTGCTATTAGGCTTCGCTCCAGCAGGCAACTGTAGTACTCCATTTGCTGCTTACCCAACACATATTTTTAACATCTAAATCACACTTCTCTGCTGCTTCTGATAGCTGTTGTCGGCTCTACGATCTGCTAGGTGCAATGCAGCGACCGATGTTCTATAAATTTGGACGCCATGCCAGCCTGTGGGAATCAGAACGTTCGGATCAGTTCGTCGCGCGCACCTATGCCACAGAGTAGATTAAACGTCGCATATGTACCTCCACCTCCGTCTACGGGATCTTGGGGAACTGGCGATACAACCTACAGTCTCGAAACGGATCGGTCAACGAGGCGGCATTGACTCACTCCTTTGTTCGGCCAATTTTGATTGAGCGGTCTCCTTATTTTTCTGGTATTTGTGGCCTGTTTTCCTCACTTTGTTGATACTCGTTGTTTAGCCGTTCCCGAAGCGCCAATCTACGTATTGGCGCCGCAATCCGGATGCTCCGAATGGTGGAATAACGAACGTTGCTGCACCACCTGCACCTCCTACTCTCTACGATCAACTTGCTGCAATGAATCTTAATTCTAGGGCAACACAATATGACGAAGACAGCAGTTACGGAGGGACCACAACTGAGGTTTTTTCAGTTTATTTTCTCTCGGTATCCATGAAAGGTTCAGTTAGCGACCGGAGTTAGTGGAATTGCCTTCTGATAAATAGGCTTCTTTCTACCTTTCATATCAGTACTTTAATGACCCTTCTTGTTCATGTGAGACAGCAAGGTTTCAAATGGACCTTTTGAGAATGATGCACAAAGTACATATAAGGAGATCGAATGATGTATATCCAAAGCAGGTCGTAATCTTTTTGTAGAAGGCAAAGTAACCACCCCACATCTACTTATCTTGCTTGATTCTTATCTTGCACTCTTCCACTAGAATGCGATAGGCCTGCTTGGGATTCTTTTAGGCCAAGTCTACCTCTAAATAACGTGGGGGACTGTAAAAAACAGTGGCAACTTTGTTCGTTATACCCTGTCAACAATTTGCAGCGTAAATCCTCAGGATTTGATAGGTTATTTCAGCAATGTTTCGTTTTTGCGCAATTCTGTAACATGATAAACTTGCAAGTTCTACTTCAGAAATCTGATGTTTTCCTCAGCTCCGCGACTCAGTGGATAACTCTTTTGATATGCGTCATTTTCTCAATGACTCATTTATTCCATTCCAGGACGATTGCAAATCGAGTGAGCACGGCAGTTCGTCTTCTGCAATAGATACAAACTCGCCTAGCAACACTTCACAGTAGTGAGTAGTCGCAAACTTAGTCTCATCATGGGCAGTTTGGGTCACTACTCGCCGCTGCTCCTTCCTTATGCCTTAGACCGTGAGGAATCGCCAGCTCAGGTGTGATTAGTGTGCAGGTTTTGCACAAAGTTTCTTCTCCTTCTCCTTCAACAACGTTTTAGTGTAAACATGCAAGCTCAGACATTACCAAACGTGGTCATCCTCTTCCACACAATGTTGTTTCCCTCTTCCAATTATTCATTAGAGATTTTTGTCGTTGTTGAAGCTATTCATCGTTTTTTAACGTTTTTTTTTTTGCGTAATGGAAAGCGTTTTGCATCTCGTCGAAGATTGATGAGTATTTCACGATTGTTTGTTTCCTTTCTCTAACATTTGATACATCTGTAAAATGGCATTTCTTATGATTATTTTGTAACTTACATATTAATATGCGCTTCTGTGGGTTTATTGTCGACCGTTCAAGGTAGAGCTATTGAAGTTAGTAGCAGCGGATTCTAAGTGAGATTGTTGCTCGAGTTAGTTTTGATCGAACAGAATAGTACAGGCGAGTTGTAGCTTATGTTGGTTCCTGTCAACTTCCATACACTCTCTCGGCTAACGATCGTGGCCAGTTTTGCTAGTATAGTAGTGTTCAGAGGTTTATCTCGTGTCGTTTCATTATTGCGGTAGTACTCTCTGTATTTTGTTTAATATTCTCGAATAGGGCCTAGGTTAGGATTGTATTAGATTGCGTGAGCTGAGCTTTTTGAGAGACATGCTCACTTAGTTAGCAGACCTTTCTACTATTCCCACTTTCAGTAGGTTAGTAGTGCTATGATTCTGTGTGACATATCAGATTTATTATTGATTAGCATCAAAAAACAGCGCTTTTGTTGTGTTTCAAAGATTTTATACGCACTCTGTGTATTCTGCGATCAGTCTTTTTTCTTCGCCTCTAGTTGCGGCATGTTCAGCGTCTTGTTATTCTTTTATCCCTGTATACCTGCAGTTCTCGCAATTCAAGTGCACGTTCTCTGGATCGCAAGCTTCTAGGCGAGGTGACAGTGCAGTCGATTCGCACTAGCGATTGCTGCATGTGTCTTGCGATTGATATTGTTTCTTCTAGTCAATAGCCTGCACCAGCAAAGCCAGTGAGTCGAAATGGAGCTGATTATCCGCTTCCCCGTCACTTCTACTCTTGAGCTTGCGATTTAGCGGACTCTTATCCAGTCGCCTCAAAATTTGCACTCGTGTCAACTGTAATGTAAGGAAGGCTTCCATCCACCCATAAACCTCTCGAATTTGCTTACAAAATCAACTTTCATTTGCGCCGAGTGCTTTCAATGCGAACTTCGCCCATCTTAACTCCCACTTCTGAGTCTGGAAGTATAATTCGCCCTCGCTCCCATTCCTAAGAAACTTCCTGGTCGACTGGTTTTTTTTTTACTTTCGCTGTTTCTACTTTTCACTCCATTTAGTACTCACCGTAGTTAGTGTTGTTCCTTGAATCATTTTCTTTTTACAATAGTCATCCATCCTGGCATCAATATGTATCTTAAACGTCGTAGCTTACTGATCTGTAGGTTCACGGTTTTTATGGATGTGTTATAAACGTTAATGCTGTTCAATATGCTGAATTCGTGTAATGATGATACATATGCCTTATTTCTCGACTTCTCTCCGGTACCACTCTGTTACAATTTTGAAATTTGTTGCTGTCGATGTGCTATGATGCATTTTACCTTATTATATTCGTCACAGCGGTTTTCTTGAATTTGCAAAGCTCAGATTGTTTGCGTTTCGATTACGTCCAATAATAAGATTTGGTTTCAGTGCAGTTTACTTTATTTTCGGTAGAAGGCCTTTGCTCTACTTCTACGACGATTTTGTAAGGTGTTTGCATGAGTCATTTGCAAGAAAAAAGTAAATGTAAATACACTTGCTGCTCAATGTCGGATGCAAGTCTTGCATGCAGTATTTGCATTACTAGTCCTACGGGGAACAGTCAGTAGGTTAAGTGAAGTACATCGTTCGTTTGAGCCAACCACTGCAGGATTTATTTCTGGGGATTTTGCACACGAAGCGATGATTCAACAGGATCCTCATTAAGTCCCAACGTTATTAGCATTATAAATCCCTTTAGATTAGCAAATTCCGTATTGACGTTTAGAAAAACTGTTTAGCAATTTTTCAAATAGTTCAATGTAAACTTAGATATCCATGAATGAATTGTTTTTTCGATTTGTAAAATTAGGTGATGTCATTGCACTTATTTGAAGAAAATCCTTTTGTGTTTAGCAGGCAGCATCTGAATTTGTTGTTTAAGCAATTAGTTTACATGTCGGTTTAGATGTTTTTTTTCAGTACCATCATTTTCTTTGATAGTTGCTTCTCATGCAATACTAGTCGATGTTTTTCCCCAAGCAAAATTTCCTAGTCCCACAATCATTTCTGGGAAATTGCAGAAGTCCAAT